TGGCTATGTTACCGCTTTGCTCAGCCCCTCTTATAACGTTGTTAGTTGTAGGTGAAGTTGGAGTTTGTTCCATGTTGGAACATGGATATGTTGGGATATCACAATATCTCTTATTTAATTAATGCATCTATATACTTGGTAAAGGGTGGAAGGCTCAGCCTTATGCCTGGTGTTTTGTTCCACTCTTGCCGCCCTAGTTTCCGTCATACCGGTGTTATGTTCCTTGATTTTGCGTTCCTTATGCGGTTGGGTTATAATGGGAACCCCTTGACAGTTTGCTTTGAATAAAACTCCTCCAGCAAGGCCCAACCTTGGTTTTACCATTTGCCACCTAAGCCTTTTTCCCTTGGGTTCTACAGACTCAAGGGTCATCTTTATTTAACCCCCGGGCCAGTGCTCCTCTGAGTGTTGGTCCAAAACAGAGCCACTTGCAGCGCCACCTCGGGGAAACTTGAGGGTTGGTTTTAGTTGTACGTAGTGTTCATCTGGTGTGCCCTGAGAACGAGATATGTGCAGCTCCTATCGGGATTTGTCGACACATCGGGCGGCTTTGCTGGTCTTGTTTTACCATTGTTGAAATGTCTTGTAACCGGGATTCCTGGTCTGATCGGGTCTTCCTAGGAGAAGGAATATCCTTCGTTGACCGTGAGAGCTTGTGATGGGCTAAGTTGGGACACCCCTGCAGGGTTGTGAACTTTCGAAAGCCGTGCCCGCGGTTATGGGCAGATGGGAATTTGTTAATGTCCGGTTGTAGAGAACTTGATACTTTACTTAAAGTAAAATGCATCAACCACGTGTGTAGCCATGATGGTCTCTTTCCGGCGGAGTCCGGGAAGTGAACACGGTTCTTGTGTTATGCTTGAACGTAAGTAGTTTCAGGATCACTTCTTGATCACTTCTAGTTCACGACCGTGCGTTGCTTCTCTTCTCTCTCTCTTTTGTGTAAGTTTAGCCACCATATATGCTAGTGCTTGCTGCAGCTCCACCTCACTACCTTTTCCTACCCATAAGCTTAAATAGTCTTGATCGCGAGGGTGTGAGATTGCTGAGTCCCCATGACTCACAGTTTACTTCCAAAACCAGTTGCAGGTGCCAATGATAACCGTGCAGGTGACGCAACCGAGCTCAAGGAGGAGCATCGATGAAGATCGTGTTCGTTGTGTTGTTTCGTTTCCAGTTGATCAGTAGTGGAGCCCAGTCGGGACGATCGGGGATCTAAGCATTATGGGTGGTCTTCTTTTATTTTGGTTCCGTAGTCGGACCTTGATTATATCTGGATGATGTAATGCTATATTCATGTATTGTGTGAAGTGGCGATTGTAAGCCAACTATGTACCTCTTTCTTATTCAGTACATGGGTTGTGTAAAGATTACCCCTCTTGCGACATTGCCTACAATGCGGTTATGCCTCTAAGTCGTGCTCCGACACGTGGGAGATATAGCCGCATCGTGGGTGTTACAGAGGCCACACGCAAGTCCCTCGTACCTACACAAACAAATAAGAACCTCGCAACCAACGCGATAAAGGGGTTGTCAATCCCTTCACGGTCACTTACGAGAGTGAGATCTTATAGAGATAATAATGATAAGATAAATATTTTTGGTACTTTTATAATATAGATTGAAAGTAAAGATTGCAAAATAAAATAGATTAGAAACTTATATGATGGAGAATAGACCCGGGGGTCATAGGTTTCACTAGTGGCTTCTCTCAAGATAGCATAAGTATTACGGTGGATGAACGAATTACTGTCGAGCAATTGATAGAAAAGCGAATAATTATGAGAATATCTAGGCATGATCATGTATATAGGCATCACGTCTGTGACAAGTAGACCGACTCCTGCATGCATCTACTACTATTACTCCACACATCGACCGCTATCCAGCATGCATCTAGAGTATTAAGTTCATAAGAACAGAGTAACGCCTTAGGTAAGATGACATGATGTAGAGGGATAAACTCAAGCAATATGATATAAACCCCATATTTTTATCCTCGGTGGCAACAATACAATACGTGTCGTTTCCCTTTCTGTCACTGGGATCGAGCACGGCAAGATTGAACCCAAAGCTAAGCACTTCTCCCATTGCAAGAACGATCAATCTAGTAGGCCAAACCAAACTGATAATTCGAAGAGACTTGCAAAGATAACCAATCATGCATAAAAGATTTCAGAGAAGAATCAAATATTGTTCATAGATAGACTTGATCATAAACCCACAATTCATCGGATCTCGACAAACACACCGCAAAAAGAGTTACATCGAATAGATCTCCAAGAAGATCGAGGAGAACTTTGTATTGAGATCCAAAGAGAGACAAGAAGCCATCTAGCTACTAGCTATGGACCCGAAGGTCTGAAGTAAACTACTCACACATCATGGGAGGGGCCATGGAGTTGATATAGAGGCCCTCCGTGATCAATGCCCCCTCCGGCGGAGCTCCGGAAAAGGCCCCAAGATGGGATCTCTTGGGTACAGAAGGTTGCGGCGGTGGAAATAGGGTTTCGTGGTGCTCCTGGATGTTTTCGCGGTATGTGAATATATATAGGAGGAAGAAGTAGGTCCGTTGAGCCATAAGGGGCCCACGAGGGGGAGGGCACGCCCCCTGCCTCGTGGATGCCTCGTTCGTTTCTTGACGTCCACTCCAAGTCCTTTGGATCATGTTTGTTCCAAAAATCACGCTCCCGAAGGTTTCATTCCGTTTGAACTCCGTTTGATATTCCTTTTCTGCGAAACACTGAAATAGGCAAAAAAACAACAATTTGCACTGGGCCTTGGGTTAATAGGTTAGTCCCAAAAATAATATAGAAGTGTAAAATAAAGCCCATTAACATCCAAAATAGATAATATAATAGTATGGAACAATCAAAAAATATAGATACGTTGAAGATGTATCACTAATATCCCTCGTCTTCCTCTCTCGAATCTTGGTCATCTTATAGATGTCCCTTTCGCCTTCCTTCGTGCCTAACCGTTTGTAGAGGTTCTCATACGCCCGACCCCTTGCTTCATTGACAGCTCATTGTGTGGCCTTCTTGCCATCTTGTACTTCTCTATGTTGTCTGCACTCCTATCTAGGTATAGGCGTCTGAAACAATATTTCTTTCTTTAATCATCTTATGTACATCACCATTCCACCACCAGGTATCCTTATCTTCATTTCCCCTTCCCCTGGATACTCCAAACTCCTCCAAGGCCACCTTATGAATGCAAGTCGCCATCTTCATCCACACATTGTCCGCATCCCCTCCTTTCTCTCAAGGGCCCTCCTTAATGACCCTTTCCTTGAACACCCGATCTACCCTCCCCCCTTGAGCTTCCACCATTTTGTTCTAGCGACTTTGGCACGCTTATCCGCTGGACACGAATCCGAAAGCGGAAGCCAGCAACCATCGGCTTATCACCTTACAATCTATCCAGGTATCACCTTATAATCTAGGCACACACGCTAGCTTATGCTGAAGAAACTGGAATGAGTTGCATAAATAGTGGTGGTTTAGGCAATCGCTGCCTCTCCCGGTCCGGAGCCTCTGGTTCAAATCTGGTCAATCCGCCTCGGGCTTAAGATCCGGATTTTTCTTTGGCAATGGATTAGGGGTCGGGTACCTTCAGGGGTGGAGGTCCTCAAGCAAAATGGCTCCGGGGATGGGACTTGCCCTTTATGCGAGACCGCAGAAGACTCGAACCCCATCTTTTTTTAGTGTGTTTTCGCACGTTTCCTTTGGTGATGTTTTCGTGAGGTGGTTGGTGGTAGTTGGTCTAACAACTTCCCCGACCTTTTTTGGAACTCAGGCATTCGAGCAATGATCCCACCACATTAGGTTGCTCGGGATTGGGCTGCTCGCGTGGACGCTTTGGACGATCGGTAATAAACTTGTGATTCAGCACATGTCTCTCAGACATTCTACCGACGCGGTCTTCAAAATGTGTGGTTACTTACAGTTTTGACGGCCGCTTAGTTGCCCTCCGGACCGGGACGCCATCTTCATCTTCATTGCAGACCTTCGAGCACCAACGTTCCGCTTGTCTCCTCCGCTCCCCCACCACCTACAGAGCTGGAGGCCTTGGGCGTCCATACTGCTTTGCCTTGGGTTGTCCACCTCATCTTGGTCTTTTCCTTTTTCCTTTTTAGGGCTTATTTAGTTGTGCACTTAGCAAAATCTGTCATACTTCACGTGAGTGTTTTTGGTGTGAACTTTGTCTCTTGGATTTTAATGGCTCTGTTGTTGTGCTTTGTCTATAAAGCTGAGCGAAAGCCTTTTTTTATATAAATAGTGGTGATTTTTTCCTTGAGTGACCCTCATTCTTCACTCTAATCTTATAACATGTCTCTAATCTGGCGAACGAGAGAGAACCGTATGTTGAAAAGGCCTTCCAGATGCAAAAGAATATCAGAAAAAACATAATTTCACTTTCAGGATACCAAGAGTAGCTTCCAGTTGAAAAAGCACAAAAAGTTGCATTCCTAAACTTCATCTTATACTTAACCAGAGAGCAATAGATTGCACTTGCTTTTCCTAACATCTACTCCCTGTGTTCCTAAATATTTGTCTTTCTAGATATTTCAACACGTGACTACATATAGAGCAAAATGAGTGAATCTATACTCTAAAATATGTCTACATGCATCCGTATGTGGTAGTCCGTTTGAAATGTCTAGAAAAACAAATATTTAGGAACGGAGGGAGTATTCTGTATGTAGCAAGTCCAATTTTGAAACACACGAGGAACTTTGCATTGTGCAAAAAAAAAAAAATCAAACCAATAAGATTGCAGCAAGCACTGCAAGGCACATGTACTATAATATAGTAGTCGTATAATAACTGACTGACAATCTGACATTCGAGTCATGGCCAACATATATCCTCAATGCTACAACAAGTGATCCAAAACTAAAAGCATAGTTAACCTTTTTTTCAGAAATTAAATGAGATGCAGAATAAATAAAATCCATCTGCAGTTTTCAGCAACAGCATTGCCACACTGGAACGAGCCTAGATCTTCAGCAGAGCACAGCCTGCGATACTCCCTCGGCAACGCGTCATCGGTGATCCTTGTCGCCAGGTTGGCCTCTCGCTTGCGACATTCAAGATATCAACATCAGACAATGGCTTAATGCACTGTTTTCTTGGCCCAGGGCCGATCACTCCACCAAACAAACATATGCTGTCCCCTAAGCCAATCATGCCAAAGCCGATCCTGCTTTGGAATCCTGATGCACAAGGAACCATCTTATCAGGGAAATTCTCACCATGCTGCTTCCTAATGCAGCTATTGCTCAGCACATACAACTCTCCACCAACCATTGCCATTGGGCCTTGCAGCCAAGAGTAGTCCTCAACAGCCCAATAATTACCGCCATCTTCGAGAATCTGGACTGTGGATATCCCTTTATGCAATACGTGCATCTTATCCTTGAAGACAAGACCAGAGCATGCAGAGGGGTGTGCCTGGCGGAGGTCAGGGAGGGACTTCCATGTGTCAGCTTCAGGATCGTAAATCTCAGCCTCTGATATCGATTTGCGGCAGTTTGTAAAGCCCCCAGCAACAATTATCTTCCCATCCAATGCATAACAAGCAAACATCGCTCGAGCTACAAGCATTGGAGCCCTCTGGGCCCACAAGCGGTGGAGAGGATCATAAGACCAGACCTCATTGCTCGCAAAGATTGTGTCATGGTCTCCAGTAAGGGGGTCAACTCTATCACTGCCACCACCAATTACATAGAGTTTTCCAGCAACAGAGGCAACTCCAAAACGGGCAATGTTCCTAATCTGAGATGGCATGACAGGGAGAGTTATCCACTTGTCTCGACGAGGATCATAAAGTTGCCAAATGTTTTCAGGTTCGAATGCCAACACACATAGCAGTTCTTCCGTCGCCCCAATCTGATTCCGAACATTGAGAAGCTCCCCATTGCGAACAGATGCTCTCCAAGAGCGGCAAACCAGCTGAAGAATAGGATGGGATACAAACGGGACACGTGCAAGGCACTGGAGAGCCACTTCATTAGGAAGACCGTCAAGTAAGGTCGATACCATCGTGCACTCAACCATATTATCTCAGTATACAGCAAGGAAGCGACAAGACCTATTAGCCTGAACATGTCAAACATACCAAGTTCAGATACACGCTGTACAGAGAAATCAGCGAAGTAGAATCAAAATAATGATCAGGCATTCATCTAATAGATATCATTCGAACAGAAACTTAATGAGGCATGGAATGATGAAAACACATAGTTAGAACTCTAAACCAACAGTAGGGACATAATTAATTAAAGTATCCTAAGTGAGGCTGAAGGTGAGCCTGCAGGGCACATTACATCATAGAGAAATTGTTTTATTTGTTGAGGGATAGCGTGTAACAAAAGATTGTCGATAGACCCAAAATTGTTCGGAGTTCCTCCTAGGGCATAGCAAAGGTAGCTCATATTCATTGAAAGTTCTTACTTAGCACTTACCCTGGTACAATATTAAACAGTTTTTATTTGCAAATTGATTACAATACATAAGGACATAGGTATATTCCAAAATCATGATTGTTAACATCAGCCATGAAAGAAACAGCAACAGCTACAATTATTAAGGTATATTGTTACTTTATGTTCTTTAAGCTTCTCAGTTTTCACTATACAGATTTGTGAGGGGGGAAAATAGCCTCAAGAAAACAAAGTGATCAATTAACTCGGCTCAAAAGTTGACTAACATGTGACAACTGACTATGGATATTCCAGAAAAGCTCCATGCGGAAAGTAACCGCAGCAAACCTCTAGGATATGGG